AAAGTGATGTAACTCATTAAACACTTACCCAAATAAACATTTAGTAAACGGTTCATTAATCTTATATTAATTAGTCGATAAAAATAGGTCAAAAATTATCTGATCTTTCATACATCTCCAAAAGTGTTTCTGAATTTATAATTGAGATTCAGAATCTCCGAAAAAAAAATTATATTTTAACTCTAAACCTATAACAATTTATCTGTTTTGGAGATTACAATATTCATTATATAATTAAAATATTATGTATTTATCTACCATAAACATTTAAGTTTATGAGAATATAATAAAAAAAACTAGCAAATTACATGAAAAAGTAACGTATTTTAACTTAATTTTTATTTTGGATAATATATTTTTAAAACTTTTATTTTGGTACCTAAGATGTAAAGTTTTAAACATTTATATACCCGGGTAACCGATTACCATGCTGATTTAACGAGCAATGTGATGGAATTGGGTTGAACAGCAAATAATACCGAATTGAATACCACATCAACATGATAACCGGTTAATGTTTCAACCAGTTACCCGGGTACTTAAATATTTAAAAACTTTACATCTTAGATACCAAAATAAAAGTTTTAAAAATATATTATCCAAAATAAAAATTAAGTTAAAATAGAGTATTTTTCACTTCATTTAGTAGGATGATTTCTCCCCCACCTTGAAAGCAATGCTCTATTGTATAGTCTATTGTCCACCATTACCATTAATAAGTGAAAACTACCTAATATTTAATTCTTTTTGTTGTTTTCCCATTTATGATTTTTATGGGATTTATTCTAGTACCTATATTTTACACAATAAATGTTAATTTACCAAATATAAAATAGCTTATCCATCTCAACTCTACCAAAAGCCTTAAATAGAACCTCATGTTGGGCCACCCAATGGGACCTCAACATACCATAATTCACCCCTCCTTATAAAACTAAACCAACCAAATTCGATCAGGTTTATTTGGTTGGTTTTTCATTAAGTCTTGTATAAATAAAGCTGTCTCTGTGAATTAATATATTTGTATAAATTGAAAATGTTTTATTTGAGAGGGGTTTTTAACAAATGAAAGAAGCGTGTTTTTTTATTAAGAGGGCAAGGTTTGGAAGATTTTGAACCCCCCCCCCCCTTAAAAAAAAATTGTTGAATAAGGGGATGTTTGATATTGCTTATAAAAAACAACATATTGACTTACTCTGGTGTGACAACGGTAATAAGCACTTTTGAGTGTTTGGATAAACAGCTTATACCGGTGTCAAACTGGTAATAAGGAGTTTTTGAAGAAGTTAAATCATTCTAAGTTATAATAAGTTGATAAACACTTTTGTAGAAAAACATAAGTTGTTTCAAATAAGCAATCCCAAACACCCTCTAAGATACTTTTTATATTATTAAATCACTATCAGACAGTCATCTATAGTTGACTGAATAAGTTATAAGTCTTATTAAGCTAATTAAACTGCTAACAAACAAACCTAAAAAGTTATATAGAAGTAGAATCTTATGAGTGTAGAATATACACAGACCTTTTCTCTACTTCAAATGTGTCTTTGGTACATGGGACAAGACAATACAAAAGCTTAGCGTCCTATGTAGGGATGGAAGCAGGGCGGGTACAGGGCGAGTAATGCATCCTCCATCCCCTACCCTGCCTCGACGGGTTCGGGAGAAAAGAATCTCTAACGGGTTCTGGCAGCCCGTTGGGTACCCGTTTAGTAAAAGAAAACAATAAAAACAATTACCAATATTGAAATCAAATATATTTGTCACTTAATAAAAAAAATGTATACATATATACTTATTTATACATATACTATATACATATATATAAAAAAATTAAATCAGTGGTCAGGATGATGCCATCCCCGACCTTGCTTCAGGTATGGAAATAAATCCCCGTTACCCGCCAAAAAAAGGAATCCTTGCCCCGTTAAGGTCTCGTACCCCTACGGGTAAAATTTTAATCTTTAGTCCCATGTTTGGTGCAACATTAGACCGGAACAGGACAAACCTTGTGTGGAACAAAAATGCATTTTTTATTCCACCAAAATAGGTGGAACAAGATAAATTACTAAACTATCCATGTATGTTAAATTAAGTCCCCTTAAATTTTCCAGAATTATTTCACTCACCTATCTGATTCTGACCTGTCCAGTCTTGTCCAGTTGCTCCGCAAATAATATCAGTGGCAGGAAAAGGCAGCCCTACAGGCTACAACTACAGCAGTTGCATAGAAATAAATGCACGTGATCAAAAAGACATCATCATGGGAGAGCGGGAATGATGTATAATGATGTATAGGACATGGTTATAAATTATAATTGTACTAATCGGGTTTAAATGTTTTTACTCGTTTATCGGATAAGACTCTCGATATTTGTTATGCATCTTATCATATAAGATTATTGGTCTTTGTCATGCTTAATTAGGCATGGCCAAAAACCGGTCCAGGGCCGAGCCAAAGTCGGTCCTGGTTAGAAAACAGTAACAATGCGGACCGTTTTCGGTGTAACCGTTCCCGGTCCCTATCCCGTTGAAAATACTAAGGCCCGGTTAAAGGTACTTGTAACCAGTTATGGTAACCGGTCCCGGTCCCGTATTAGAAAAAAACATTTTCTTTTCTATTTTTTAAAAATTTCATTTTGATAAATTTAAAAAAATATTTTAATGTTATTCTAATACATTTTAAAATATCTAATTAGGTCAATCAAATACACTTTAAATATATGTATTGTAGTTTTATAATTGATTTTCAATCAAATACACTTAAAAATTATGTTTTATTATAGTTTTATAATTGATTTTCAATCAAATACACTTAAAAAATATGGTTTATTGTAAATTTGTAATTCGATTTTCGATCAAACACACCTAGAAAGCTAGAAATAAATTTAAAAATACATTTTTTTTAAAAGAAAAAAAAATCAGGCCGGTACCGGGCCGGGACTTATTTTTGGATGAAATCCATAACCGGTCCTTACCCGACGGTCCCAAACTGGTCCTAATCGGTCCCGGGCCGGGCCGGGCCGGGCCTAAGTCGGTCTCAGGGCCAGACCTATTTGGCCATCTCTATGCTCAATCAGTAAAGTAAGTGATATCAGTAAGTGTTTATCCTGTAAACATTTAGTAAACCGCTCCTTAAACCAAACCAAACAGATACAATATGTCTCATTTGAATGGGTAGAGTATGGGAGATCTTCGTATTTAAACAAAATCAGACAAATACAAGTATATATATCTCATTCAAAGGTAGAGTCTAAAAAATAAAGCAGAGCGTCAATTAGCATGTTAAATCTTGGTTTTTGAACATGACCCCCAAATTTTTGGAGCCCAATTTACTTGCACTTTGGGGCCTGGATTTATATAACACAACCTATAAATCTATCTCAATGAAAACCTATCTAATTCTTTCAAAATCAAAATGGTCTGTTTAATTTTAAATTTCGCAATCAGAAACAAAAACAACTCTTTGATATCATTCTCACTTTGTCATTTTAAACATTTATATTGTTTTAATACATAAGATTTTTAACAATATTTTATTTTATTTATCTCTCATTTCAGATAATATAGCTTTACAGTTCAAATATTGCAAACAAATTGATGCAATAGGGTATCATATTACTAGCTTTCTATTTTTTGTGCACAATTCTAGTGAACCAAGAAACCTGCAAGTACATATATATATATATATACACACACATACATACATACATACATATATATTGGGTAACAGTGGGTATCTGGGCCAATTAGTGCGCATCAAGTAACCCCCTGGCTATCACGACTGACATAAAGTCATTGCAGGTGAACTTCTATGGCCATAGAGGCTTTGACAAAACTCAAACTGGGAAAGATGAGATTTTCCACTATATCCCCTGAGCCGTAAACAGTGTGTGACAACCTAGAGTTTGGGGTATCTTTGTTAAAAGCTATGAACTTAATAGGACTCAAATTATTCGGTCAGCTATACATGACTGTTTGATAGTGGACTTAATTATATACAATATGGCTTATTCGGTAATCTTCTAGGGGAAAACTTTATTCAGAAAGTCAAGTTTTTCCAAACCTGTCTCTCTCAATTAAAAATCACACTCATTCCATCTATACTCCAAATCTACACAGACAGCTTTATCACAGACAGCTTTATCCATACAGGATTTAAGGGTAAACCAACCACACAGCCCCTAAGCATACTTCTGATCTAGTTCATTGCTTACCTTTCCCATGTGGGTGTGTTCAAGAACACTGATTTCATGGCTTGACAAATTGAGCAAAATTAATTCAAAGGCTCAACCACACAATCACAAAACATCAATGCCGATTCCAAACCAGAATAAACTGGTCTGTTGGGTTTGGAGGATCATAAACAGCTACCCTTTGACCTCATCCAAGATCAGTTTGAACTTTGAACACAATCGTCGCAATCGCAACGAACCCCAAATATTGTTGATGATTTTAGTGTCATCAAACATTTGGTGTAACTGTAATTTGCTTAAGATCAATTAAGGTGACGAGGCAAATAAAGTGAGTTAGGAGGTACGGAGTGCACGTTCACAAATGTTGCCCTATAACTTTAGATAGCCAAAAGGCGGGCGCCAAGGGGCTGCATCCTGTGGCTCCGCTGACCAATTAGCAGACGGGGTCAAGGGGCAGCGCCTCGAGGTTTATAGATTCTAAGAAGAGATAGACTTTGAGAATTTTAGTGTTCGGAGGACCTGGACGAATTTCAGAAGGTTGGAAACCTTCTTGAAATTGTCCCCGAAATTGGTAAAAATTTGACTAAGTTTAGATCAGAGATAGCGCAATCAGAGCTCTGTACCGTAGAAATAGAGTCCTGGACCATAGAAATTGGACCAAGTCTGATATGGAGCAATCAAGACCGCAGAACTGGAGCTCTGGACCGTGGAACCAAGGCTCTAAATGTTGCTTCTGATTCTACTATAACTGCTCCCGGCATTCGTAGTCGTCTGGTGGATTAGTTGGTACACATAAGCTGGCAAGAAACCAACAATAACCCCAAAAGGAAATTGTAGTTAACTATAAATTTGATAGCAAACAAGATTTACCTTTAATCTTACCAAGTACTTGACATCTAAACAAGCATACTAAAAGTAACATATCTAATTATCCTTCGAGTCTGACTTGTAATCACCAGTATTGTCAGTCTGCTGCGGTGGTTGTTGTGGTGGTTCTCGTGGTGTCGGCATTACGATGGGTTTTAGTTCACAAATAGTTGGAACAGTGGCACTAGGATTTCCCTTTGTAAACGCCTCAAGCAGAGCCCGTTGGTTCAAATTATTCTGATGAACAATTTCATTGAATTGGTCGATTATAAATCGTACGTCATCAGCAGTATAGGTTACCGATGTTGCCGTAGATGTATATAGGTTGTGACCATGACGTTCACCCGATAGGTTTGCGCCAATATATTTCTCGTATGAGAAAAACGATGATGACGACGAACTATTACCATCTTTCATTAGTTCAGCTAGAACCATACCCGTTCCATGCTGTGTTGTTATGAAATAAAAATAATTAGTAATACCAACAATAAATACATTTAGTTTTTAAACTTGAGATCACGTGAAACCAACCTATTTATATTAGACCTTAAAATAACACTGAACTTACACATCTGCCCAAGGTTCAATTCCAGGCGTCCGCAACAGTTGCCGCCACAGAGTTTATCAAGGCTGATGTTTTATAGTCGTAATTTATCGGGATTAGTCAGGTCATTAGCCTGTGACACCTTTCTACAAAAACAATGTGAAGGATTGTTTTTGGTATGATGGTCAGTGTGTTTTTGTACTTTTACAGCTGGTCTCACAGAAGTAGGATGGTCTCACGATAACCCAACTCTTATACATTAATAAAAGGTTAAACAATACTTATACGATCGACCTCAAGAAAGTAATAATAGTTTTATTCCAATTTTCACTACTAGTGAGTCGGTGGATGTTTTTTCGCCTTCTCTACATCCTCGTAACCACCAACGGCATGAAAGAGTTGTTTTAGCTTCTTTTTTTGGTCCTTGTACTTACGCTTACAGAAGCATTCAACTTCAGTGAGTATAAACGGCCATTCAGACCCGTAGCAATATCGATCTAGGTGGAAAAAATGCTTCGAAATAAAAGAGACTGGACAGGACAGACAAAAACTTGTGGTCCCACATTTGACGCGACATTGGATAGGGACATAATGGTACCAGATGGGACAAAAATACATGTTTCTGTCCAACCACAATAGGTGGAAAAAACATCAAGAAGATGAGACAAGATTAGTAAACTACTAAACTACCCATGACGAATCAAAACCCTACAACCTTTCACAGTTTTTTCACTCACCTATCCTACTCTCACCTGTCCAGTCTGGTCAACATAGCAGACACACCCCATAGGTATCAAGATAACGGCACAAATCACATCGAACCCAACTTTTCTTATGGAACTTCTCTTACAAAAGTTGAAAATGGGGATTAAACCAATGGATTAGCATACCGAACAAGGGCGGACCTACGTAGAGGAATACAGTGGCACGGGCCAACGGCCCACCGTTTCATGGTTTTGTTGTAATGTACTAAAAATAATGTTTCTGAAGGGCGCCACCGTATCATTCCGTTGGGTGCTCTTCTATTCTGTGAAACTAAACAAATGGCACAAGTTTGTAACTTCAGAAATGATTAACGTTGCTGCCCTCGTACAAAAGGCATGGGTTCGAGGCCTTTTTTTTGTCAAATTTCTTACTTTTCAGCTTAAATTTGGGGGGGGGGGGGTTATATAGCTTTTGTGTTTTTAGAAAATGTCATAGACAGGGTTCGAACACACGTTCTTTTCGTGCAAAGGCAAAGAAACAACCAACAGATTTATAACAATACTATGAAAAGTTTCTATAGATTATTTTCTTATAGTCAAATGGTATCGCCACTTCAAAAACTTTTCTGGGTCTGCCTCTTATATCGAAGATGGAAAAAGGGAACCTAAGCAATGAAAAAAGAATCTAACATTTCCATGGATATCGATAAACAAGAATATATACTTCACGTGAAGAGTTAACAAGGGTGAATACTATATAAGCAAGAATAACATATTACCCAAGGTAATCCTTTGTTCTTCGGATCTTGATCATTAACAGAAGCATCCCTATCACCACTTGAAGACTCATCGGACGAAGAATCGCTATCATCATAATTCCATGGCATCGTTCGTTTCATTATGTATTAGCTAGAGCAGCAATCTAAAAACATAATGTATTCATATATGAATATTGATTAAAAGTCGAGGCTAATGAAATCTTCAAGCCAAACAACAAAGAATACGAAAAGATGAACTTATTCATTGTTGAAGAATCCCCTGTCCAAAAATTGTCATCCCACCATACACATATTCATCAAGACATTTTACAAGAAGATGATAATGATATATATTGAATCAAAAACTAACATTTTATATAAAGTTGTTGGAATCATATAGTAGAATACATGATTGTGGAGGACATGGAGATGGTGGGTAGTAGAGGCCATTGACAATGGTGGTTATGGAGGTGGAAGTGCTGCTAAAAATGCTCTGGAGGTGGAGGTGGAGGTGGAGGTGGAGGTGGAGGTGGAGGGTGGTAGCCGATGGTGGTGGAGCTGTGGAGGTGGTGATTATGGAGGTGGCCGCTGCACAAGGGTGGTGGAGGCAACAGGCAGTGGTGACCGTTAAACCAAACACCATCACTCAGATAGACATAGACTCTGGTCTCAGACCTTTCGAAATGCATGTGTTAAGCATATAGCTAGCCTTACAGAGTTTGATAATAGTCTCAATCACAGATGAATGTACCAAACGCAGTATAAGCATCTAGATGTTAGGATCCCATACCCAATACACAAAACCGTACCAATTGATTACTGTTTATTGTACAAAATCAGTGGATTTCATAGCTACAAACTACATGAAAAATAGCAAAAAAGCACAATTTTCATAAACATTAATCAAAGAACAGTGGAAGATGATAATTCAGCCTAACAGAAATTTATGGCGATACCTAACGACGTAGGTATACTTGCTATTAAGGAGCAAAACAACAGAAAATTTGGCAGGAAAGGATCGTAATTAGTATCAGAGAAGAATTAGGGTTTCACAAGTAGTTGAATTCCTCGAACGTAATGCCTAAAATCAGTAAACCATAAGAACAAAAACGGAAAGATGTATGAAAATACCTACCGGAATTAAGAAGGAAGTTAGGGCTGGTAGGTTACCTTCTCTGTCGATTCGCCGGAATTCGAAGACTAATCGGCCGTCCGATGGCACTGAAACCTCCAAATTACAACCCCAGCTCGTCGCCTAGTTATTTAACTAGTTGATTACCTGCCCAATGCGGTGGACCATAAATTTTAAAGGTTTTGAAGTTTTATTGGTTTTATAAGATAAGATTTAACGATCATATAATTTATAATTGGTCTTTATATATTAATATAATTTGAATAAATAAGAGTTATGGTTCCAACTACATATTATCGATGAAAAAAATTATATGACAGTTTAAAATCCAATATATTTAAAATCCAACATATTTAAACCACTTCACAAATGTATTCGATTTACACCAAGAGCAACAAGAAATTTGAGTTTTAAGATAAAAACTCAAAACTAATAAAGAAACTACAAATTTGACAGATCATAAGCCATGAAAAGACAAAAAAATATGGGTTTTAGAATGAAATTTCAACTGTTTACCATCTTTCTTGTCCAGAAACTCAGATTAAGGTTGAATTAATACATGTATATATATATATATATATTTCAAAAAAACCCAAGAACATATTAATTCAAAACATATTATACAACAATTTGGACAGCTTAACCCCAAAATATATAGTATATATATAAATAAATAACTATAAAAGTATAAATCGTAAATATTAAAAATAATTTTTACAGTATATATAATATATAATAATATATTTAAGTCAAAAACTATTCAATATTGAACTCATTTCAAAGGTATTAACGAGACGATTATAATGGTGTAACTTGTTAAAATAAAAATATATTTTTTTAAACATGTTTTAATTGATATACGATTATGTATGTTAATTTGATAAATTTTTAAAATGAAACATTTAAAAGTAAAGGACGTAAAGTAAATTTATTAATTAATTATAGGGGTATAAAGTGTAAATTTAAAATTATAAGTTAAAAAAAATCGGTTGTGAAAGAGTGAGTGTATGTAAGGAGAGGAGAGAGTGAAAAAGTGAAAAAATGAGTATAAAAGATATTTTGGTCATTTAAAATTTTAAGACTTTAAGACTTTTATTAAAAACCTTAAATATTTTAAAGCAAACTATGAATTTGGTCCCTTTAGTTTGTCAAGTTAACATTTTTCGTCTGTAAGGTTTTGATATTTCAAGATGGTCATCGTAGTTTACAAAAACGTTCAGATTTGATCTTTTTTTTTAGCTGTTGTTAAAAAATTCTGTTCCGTTAAATGAGGGGCAATTTTTGTGTTTTTATCAATTTATTCGTTTAATCAAATTCGATTTTATGGGCGTTAGAAAGGGACTAAATACGGACATTTTTTTAAACTGTTATAACTATTTTGTAATTTCAAAATTACAAAACCAAAAAATGTTATTTTTAACAAATCATAGGGACCAAATCTGTAGTTTAGCCTATATTTTAAGAATTAGAAACCATCCTTTTAGATCGTGGATAGCGGGTGGAAAAATAGTTTCTAAAAATATTTAGATAAATTAATCAATAAAAATCTTAAATTTTGAGAATACAATATTTATAAAAAAATTAGAAGTGTATTCACGTAATGCAGTAAGATATGATTTTATTTTAATATTTTATTTTATTTTTTATATATGTTGATATAATACAGTTTTGATAAAGATGGTATTTTTACTTTTGAATAAAAATATTTTTGAAGATATCATAAAATTTGAAAAATATATTTATATTAGTATCAAATTAATTATTTAAAAGTTCTCGTTTTTATACAATTTCTTTAGTTCAAATTTTTATTATAATTTAATTTATGTCTGATAACGAAGTAATTTATTTTTGACTTAACAATACTAGAAGTGTACTCGCGCAATGCAGCGAGATACATCGTGATTTTAATATTTCATTTTATTCTTTATCTCAGTCGATGTTATAATATGGTTTTATGTGATTTTGATAAAGCGATGATGTTTTTATTTTTGAATAAAATATATGTTTGAAGATATCATAAAAATTTGACAAAAATATATCGATATTAGTATCAAATTAACT